GATTTGTTAAAATAATTGTACTATTGCTTAATCAGATTGCTCTTAATGGATAATCACTTAACCTTTTGGTAAACCTATATATTTTAAACTGATTAGTCTACTACAGATTTTGAGAACTACATAATGAAAATATATGTTTGTAAAGTATAAACATATTAAGTATTATATATACTTTAATGTACTATTATTAGAATAATTATTATGATTTTATTTCACAGTACGTTTTTTAAATAATACAATTGCCAATACAGCACTGTAATACCGTAATACAGTGCCTTCAGAAAGTATTGACTTGACTTTTCCCACATTTTGTTACGTTACAGTCTTATTCTAAAATGGATTATATAAAACATTTTCCTCGGCAATCTACACACAATACCCAATAATGACAAAGCGAAAACAGGTTTTTAGACATTTTTGCAAATGTATTGAAAAAAAAAAACAGAAATACCTTATTTACATAAGTATTCAGACCCTTTGCTATGAGACTCGAAATTGAGCTCAGGTGCATCCTGTTTCCATTGATCATCCTTGAGATGTTTCTACAACATGATTGGAGTCCACCTGTGGTCAATTCAATTGATTGGAAAAGCACACACCTGTCTATATAAGGTCCCACAGTTGACAGTGCATGTCAGAGCAAAAACCAAGTCGTGAGGTCGAAGGAATTGTCCGTAGAGCTCCGAGACAGGATTGTGTCGAGGCACAGATCTGGGGAAGGGTACCAAAACATTTCTGCAGCATTGAAGGTCCCCAAGAACACAGTGGCCTCCATCATTCTTAAATGGAAGAAGTTTGGGACCACCAAGACTCTTCCTAGAGCTGGACGCCCGGCCAAACTGAGCAATCAGGGGAGAAGGGGCTTGGTCAGGAAGGTGACCAAGAACCCGATGGTCACTCTGACAGAGCTCTAGAGTTCCTCTGTGGAGATGGGAGAACCTTCCAGAAGGACAACCATCTCTGCAGCACTCCACCAATCAGGCCTTTATGGTAGAGTGGCCAGACGGAAGCCACTCCTCAGTAAAAGGCACATGACAGCCCACTTGGAGTTTGCCAAAAGGCACCTAAAGACTCTCGGACCATTAGAAACAAGATTCTCTGGTCTGATGAAACCAAGATTGAACTCTTTGGCCTGAACCTGGTACCATCCCTACGGTGATGCATGGTGGTGGCAGCCTCCTGCTGTGGGGATGTTTTTCAGCGGCAGGGACTGGGAGACTAGTCAGGATCGAGGGAAAGATGAACGGAGCAAGTACAGAGAGATCCTTGATGAGCGCACAGGATCTCGGACTGGGGCGAAGGTTCACCTTCCAACAAGACAACGACCCTAAGCACACAGCCAAGACAACGCAGGAGTGGCTTCGGGACAAGTCTCTGAATGTCCTTGAGTTGGCCAGCCAGAGCCCGGAATTGAACCCGATTGAACATCTCTGGAGAGACCTGAAAATAGCTGTGCAGCAACGCTCCCCATCCAACCTGACAGAGCTTGAGAGGATCTGCAGAAAACAATGGGAGAAACTCCCCAAATACAGGTGTGCCAAGCTTGTAGCGTCATACCCAAGAAGACTCGAGGCTGTAATCATTGCCAAAGATGCTTCAACAAAGTACTGAGTAAAGGGTCTGAATACTTATGTAAATGTGATATTTTAGTTTTTTATTTGTAATAAATTTGCACAAATATCTAAAAACCTGTTTTTGCTTTGTCATTATGGGGTATTGTGTGTAGATTGATGAGGGGAAAAAAACTAATTTAATCAATTTTAGAATAAGGCTGTAACGTAACATAATGTGGAAAAGATCAAGAGGTCTGAAAACTTTCCTAATGCACTATATATTTCATTTACATAGCATACACTTTTATCCAAAGTAACAACAGGGAGTCCATATATTTTCATATGTGACCCCAGTGGGAATCGAACCCACAACTCTGGTGTTGCTAGTGACATGTTTGACTACTCAATTACAAGTACAATAAAATACTGTAAAATATAATACAATACATGATTACAATACAGGTGGAAGGTGTATGATCGCCATCCCCTATGAGCGTGCCACCCTACTTTAGGCTATGGATGAGGCATGCGATGACATCAATCCAGACCAATGTCTGGCTTGGATTTGCCATTCCAAAAGGTTTTTCCACAGAGGCATGAACAATGAGGACATTTACTGAAATGTGGATGAGAACCTATGGCCGAATGCTCAAGACAGGCTTGATGCAAACTAGTGCCTGCTAAACATTTTATTTTTTTCATTCATTTAATTAGTTTCATTTGATTACAGTACACCTATGTTTTAATTATATTTCATTTAATTTTTGCATCAATGATTGTGAAAGACGTCTTCAATGATCACACCTTTGATCACACATGGGATAGAAATTATGGAAATTAGATTTTCTGTCAATTTTGATGGGTAGCACAAGTGTATTGCCTAATACATTTGATTGATAATGTGAAAACAGTGTAATGTACTGTTATTTACAGTACTGTAGCATATTACATTCAAAGGGCAATTTTGAAACATGCACCTTATATTTTTTGCTGTTGTTAAAGCAGCTAAATTGAGAAGATATCATTATGTTGTGTTTTGGTAATTAAATTAATGTTCTCATGGTATTTCACAGTAAACTTGTATTTTTGATCATTGGTTGTGTGGTGAAAGATGTCTTCAAATAAAATGAATGCACAACGAAAGGTTTTGAATGTAAGACTTCATGCGTTACAAGTGTTACCAGTATAGAGTTTTGTACAAAGAGTTAAAAAATTCACCACGTACAATACCTGTCAAAGGTTTGGACACACCTACTCATTCCAGGGTTTTTCTTAATTTTTTTGGACTATTTTCTACATTGTAGAATAATAGTGAACACATCAAAATTATGAAATAACACATATGGAATCATGTTGTAACCAAAAAAGTGTTAAACAAATCAAATATATTTTATATTTAAGATTCTAATAATAGCCACCCTTTGCCTTGATGACAGCTTTGCACACTTGACATTCTCTCAACCAGCTTCATGACGTAGTCACCTGGAATGCATTTCAATTAACAGGTGTGCCTTGTTAAAAGTTTGTGGAATTTCTTTCCTTCTTAATGCGTTTGATCCAATCAGTTGTGTTGTGACAAGGTAGGGTTGGTATACAGAAGATAGCCCTATTTTGTAAAAAACCAAGTCCATATTATGGCAAGAACAGCTCAAATAAGCAAAGAGAAATGACAGTCCATCATTACTTTAAGACATGAAGGTCAGTCAATCCAAATTTGATACTTTTGGTTCCAACCACCGTGTCTTTGTGAGACGCAGAGTAGGTGAACGGATGATCTCTGCATGTGTGGTTCCCACCGTGAAGCATGGAGGAGGAGGTGTGATGGTGTGGGGGTGCTTTGCTGGTGACCTGTCTGTGATTTATTTAGAATTCAAGGCACACTTAACCAGCATGGCTACCACAGCATTCTGCAGCGATATGCCATCCCATCTGGTTTGCGCTTAGTGGGACTATCATTTGGGCTATTTGACCAAGGAGAGTGATGGAGTGCTGCATCAGATGACCTGGCCTCCACAATCACCTGACCCCAACCCAATTGAGATGGTTTGGGATGAGTTGGACTGCAGAGTGAAGGAAAAGCAGCCAACAACTGCTCAGCATATGTGGGAACTCCTTCAAGACTGTTGGAAAAGCATTCCTCATGAAGCTGGTTGAGAGAATGCCAAGAGTGTGCAAAGCTGTCATCAAGGCAAAGGGTGGCTACTTTGAAGAATTTGTTTAACACTTTGTTCTTTACTACATGATTCCATATGTGTTATTTCATAGGTCTGATGTCTTCACTATTATTCTACAATGTAGAAAATTGTAAAAAATAAAGAAAGAAAAACCCTTGAATGTGTAGGTGTGTCCAAACTTTTGACTGGTACTGTACTTATAAATAGCACCAAAGTACAAAAAAACTAACAATTATCTCTATGATTGTAGCAAGGAAAAAATACACATTTACCACCACTATTACTTTATGATTCTAAAACCTACCTATGTTAAGTTTATATTTTCACTGTAATCCTGTGTAGCTCAGTTGGTAGCGCATGGTGTTTGCAATGCCAGGGTTGTGGGTTCGATTCCCATGGGGGTCCAGTATGAAAATGTATGCACTAACTGTAAGTTGCTCTGGATAAGAGCATCTGCTAAATGACTAAAATGTAATAGTACATTACAGACAGTATATATCATACATTATATGTTTATACTTTACAAACAAACCTTTTCATTATGTAGTTCTCAAAGTCTGTAGTAGACTAACCAGTTTAAAATCTATATCAAACGGTTGAGTGATTATCAATTAAGAGCTTTCGGATTAAGTAATAGTCAAACGTATTTTAACATAATGAGAAGACAATCATATTAAAAGTAAGGTGAGCATTGCATTGTGAAAATAAATTACTGTATATGAACATGTAATGCAATGTGAAATATGTATTTCTAGATTAAACACTGATTAAGTTGTACTAAGTCAATTGAAAATGTGCTTAGAGTTTTGAAACAACAGCCTTTTTGATGATCTGTTTTGAGTTTTGAACTAAGCGTTGTGAAAATGTACCACATACTTGTGAAAATTGCATCAAAGCAAATCGAAAAGCTGTTAACACCTTTGAGATTCTATGCTGATGTTCAGGCCCAAATAGACCAATGAAATTGTAGAACAGATTGAAAGATGGAAAACAAAATCCAGAGCTGCTGACTAAGGAACAATCAATACTGGGGAAGAGCATAGAGAAAGGAGGAAAGATGAGGGAAATGGAAAAAGGCAAAAAGTTAAGATATATCAGTAGAAAAGGAGAGAGAGATCACAGGTGTGAGCTGCTTCGTCTGTGCAAACTGGAAAGCGTTGGGGCAGTCCTCCCGTTGGATTATGGGATTACGGTCAGGACGGGCGGTCATGCGAGTGTTGTGGTCGGCACTGACCCTGCTTACAGCCAGATTACCCCGGTGAGGTGAGTTTGCTTCAACCTGCCTCCTGTCACGTCCTCTGGCTCTCCCTCCTTTCCCTGCCTCACACTGGCTCTTTCTCTGGCTGGATGGCTGTCTACCGCAGGTCTCCCTCCCTATGGTTCACCACACCACCCGTCCACCCATGTCTCCCTGGTCAGTCACTAACCTGACTGACTCCCTGACTTCCTCCTGCCTCCAGAACAGTACATGCCTTGGGGTTGAAGCTTCCTGGGGCGTTAGGACACCTGTCTGTGGGGAAGCCTACCTGGATACTACATAGACACCAGACGCATCTTCTCCTTGACCACCTTGAAGACCCTGGGAGCGGTTGACGTCCTGATAGTCCTGACCAGTGCTGCTCACCCAGTCCAGCAGAGTTTAGCTAGCTAGCATCAGGTGAATCCATGAAGTGTCCATCTGTCCGGACCAGCAAATCAGAGGTGAGTGACTTTCTGACCTGCAGCCTAAGACCTTTGACCTTCTGTCAGACAGCACAGCCAGGGAGCCTAGACCACCTCTGACCCCAATAGCGACATCATTAATATGGAGTGGTAATGGAGATGTAGTGGTATGGTGGCTCTAGCTGATAGTGGTGCTCTCCCTGCATGTGGGACTTCTACTCTTACTATGATACATAGCTTAGTAACACTTAAAGCCTGCATGTATAATGCACTTTATAATGTCTTTTAGCCTTTCAGACAAATTCTGGGAAGGATGAGACATTGGCTCATTCCGTAAATGTGTCTTTTTCAATGACGGCAAAATGTTCCAGTCCTCTTCCACATTGAAGTTCCACAGAAAGAGCAGGATACGTTTTTGCTGCAACCTAAGAAATCCAAATAAAGTTTAGAGAGGGATTTTTACATTTAGAGGGAGATTCCTAAGTTTAGAGGGGGATTCTTAAGTTTAGAGGGGGATTCCTAAGGGTCTAAGTTTAGCACTGTACTATTCCAGTCCTTTTTCAAGGCAGGGAGTGACTTGGATTAGAGTGAATTGAATGTGTCAAATAACACATAGCTGGGACAAATATATAAACTGAGTGTTCAAAACATTAGGAACTTCTGTCTGTAGCATCTGAACCGTTTGGGCTGCAAACTAATATGACCCCACTATGGAAAGGGGAGATGCTACAAACCCCACAAGTGTCAAGGGACTCGTCTGAAGGTAACTGGTACCAGTAAAAAAAAAAAAAAAGGATATATGGAGGTAGTTTTGTGCCAACAAAAGAAACAGGGTTAAATATGTGTCCAAAAACCAAAAATATTTCCTTAGCTTACTTATATCTCCTAGATATAGGAAATACACTTCAAAACCTTATCCCCCCACCCCAAAGGCTTAGACCTTTAGAGGTTAACCTGTCTCCTCCCCTTCAGTTACACTGATTGAAGTGGATTTAACACGTGACATCAATAAGGGATCCTAGCTTTCACCTGGATTCACCTGGTCAGTCTATGTCATGGAAAGAGCAGGTGTTCCTAATGTTCTGTCCACTCAGTGTATCTATATGACAACCACAGCACAATGGGTTCTTGTCCATGATATCGGTTAACTGATTTCTAAAACCATGGTAGTTAATCCTTTAGGCTTTACATAGAATCCAATATGTTCACATGCTTTGTGGTGTCCCCTCCCCTTCATGCCTGATCAGTAAAACAAACAAAAGCAGATTACTGTTAAAGGATTAGAGCTTTACCCAAAAAAGGACACATTTACAATTTTCCGGTACTATGGATTTACTGTTTTTCACGGGGCTGTAATGATTGCGATCAATAATCACAGTGTAGTCTTGATTTTTGTAGTTGTCCTTGGTATGGCTCCCTCTGCTGCACGACAGAGTAATTACCGAGAATCATTACTGAGCGAGCAGCGTCTCAGTGATCCTCATGGCCAACATGGGGATCACTAATGAATCCAATTAACTCTTGTTAATGACCTTTTTGAGGCATCCTGTTCCTCTAGTCTAGTCTCCTCTGATGGCCCTGCAACTGACGTACACACATGCCTCATTCACATCATCAATCATCTCTTCTTTTGCTGTTTTAGGCTGTAGTAACTTGACAAGGAATGCCCACACGCATTTCAATATTACTTTCCTTTACTTTCAACCTAAGAAATAAAAGGTGTACAGCCATGTACAAACAGTACAAATACAGCTAAACGATACAGCCCACTCAACATGTGTTAGAGTCGCATTGTATAGATCCGACCCTGGGTGATGACATCATCGAAGGGGAAAGGTCACGGTCAATGCCAATGCCAATAATAACCATGCACACATGAATAGTAATCATACTATACTGCAGGTAATTACAATACATATTCAATGTAATTATTTATATAGTGTCCACTCTATAACATAGGCCTAGTCTTGGAAGGCCAAATAAGTTTGAATAAGAATCACACGAGTCAATGAGAATGGTTTAAAAAATGACTGGCAGCGACATGGGGCTGACTAGGGATGATTGGCGCAGCCTGGCAATATGATTAGCTTGTTGACGTGTGATTCATTTTTATTGTTGACAATGATTCAGTGAGAGGCATACAATGTTATAATGTGATAACAGGTTTGCAATGTTAAAGTTGGCATGTAGACAGCTGAGGGTGCCGTGTTGTGTCTCCAGGGCTATGGTTGGTTGTGAGGGCCTGGAGGCGTGGTGAGATACAGAGGCAGCAGGCAGCTCCATGGCGTGGACTGAGCTGGAGCTCCGGGCAGGGCTCAGAGCTGGGCTACACAGGGCCCTACTACCACTTCTCCTCCAGGGGTTGATGCTCCTTACCTTCCCCTGCCTTGGTGGTCCCCCACAGCCGGCACGCAATCCTCTGTCACCAGGGCAGCCTTTTCTAGTACTATGGGGAATCCCCAACAAGGCGTGTTCTATACGTCCTGACCCAGGAGCCTTTGGGATGGAGAGAGAGGGCCGCGTGTCCATGTTTTATGAGGACACTCTGGGGAAATACCCCTATTACACTCACCAGGACCAGCCGGTGAATGGGGGTCTTCCCCAACACACCAGACTGGATGGACACCTCCAGAAGACAGGGGAGGACCTGGTGGCAGCGCTACCCTCCACAGGGTATCAGGGCCTGGGGGTACTGCGTTGGGGCCAGTGGTCCCCGCAGTGGGGAAGGAACCGTGAGAAACAGGGCATCTACCTGGAGGGCTCCAGGGCTCTGCTGAGGACCTTCTTCCCTGACTGGACCACTGAGGAGGTGGAGAAGTGGTCTCAGGTAAGATCCTCATCAATACCAGTTTAGAGTAATAGGAGAAATAGATGTAATAAATGCTATTCAACATCACAGTTGTCTCATAATGATGTCATCCCGTTCCCCAGGTGGACTTTGAGGCAGCGGCCCAGTCCATCCTCATGGAGACGCTGTGGGAGGTGAGGAGGCTCCGCCCCAAGGCTCTGTGGGGCGTGTCCCCGTACCCCAACTGCTACAACTCTGGCCCCGCCCAGTCGCTGTCCAATTACACAGGTCGCTGTCCCGCCACCGAGATGGCGTTGAACGACGAGCTGCTGTGGCTATGGAAATGCTGCTCTGCCCTCTACCCCGCCCTCACACTAGAGAAGTTGCAGGGCGGGACCTCAGGGGCCAGACTGTACACGTCCAATCAGATCCGAGAGGCACTGAGAGTGGCAGGCTTGGCCGGGACCGCCTACGACCTTCCTGTGTTCCCATTGGTCAGGAGTGTCTATACATCAACCAATACTTTTCTGTCTGAGGTGAGAGATAGTGCTGGGTGGAAGTAGATGTTACCATGTTTTTGAAAGTGGTTTCTCTTTGTCTGTTGGTTCTGTAACAAGTGTATAACAGAGTGATGTTCCCTCAGGCGGACCTGGTCAACACCATAGGTGAGAGTGCTGCCATGGGGGCAGCAGGGGTTATCCTCTGGGAGAAAGATCAAGGTGTCTTCTCTTCAAGGACTCAGGTACACATCTCTTCAATTGTCCATACATTCAGTCAGTCAGACTACCGTGGGTCTGAGGTCTAAGAATGACAACATTTCACCTGTCTGCCCCCAGAGAGCCTGCTCAGAGCTGGCCACGTTCGTGCGTGAGGTCCTGGGCCTGTACGCCGTCAACGTGACCACAGCCGCCCGCCTGTGCAGCGTCTCCCTGTGCGAGGGGCGTGGCCGCTGCGTACGCCGCAAACCCGGGAGCTCCGCCTACTTGCACCTGCCGCCCTCCAACTTCCTGATGACGCAGGGGAAGGTGGAAGGGGTGCAGGCCACAGGCCAGCTGGATCCTGGAAACCTGGAGGCCTGGAAGAGGGACTTCCAGTGCCAGTGGTATGAGTCCATGGAGGGGGCGGCTGCCGACGAGGAGGTCCCCAAGGACAGGGCACAGGGAGCCCTTCCTCCCACACTGAATTCCCCCTTGTTGAGTGAGCTGAACCAAGGGACCAGGCCCACCCTCGCTCTGTCAGACCACAGTGGACCATCACTCACAACTCCTCTCCTGCCTCTACTGCTGGTATTAGCCACAGCTCTAAGCCTGAACACAGACTTATGCCTGAACCTCTGACTAACCTGCTGGACTATCAGGTCGGGGCTCAGGGGGCTAAACACACTGTCGTACCAGTGTAGAATTTTTTGGGGTGGAACAGAAACTCTTAAGAGGTGTTTCTATTTCGAACAAAGAAATGTCGTGAACAGAGACTACTATTCTATTTTGGAGACTGTGGATGTTTTTATTGTCTGTACAAGTAGATCAAACAACAACCTTTTATTCATAGGATTTGTGGTTAACATTGCCGTCATTTCTCGTCTCGTCAACAGTTGTGTGTATTCAGTTCATAACATTGCAGTACTGGGTGTTTCTTTTATAACTCATTGTTTTTCTGCACACTTTTTTTCCTTCTTCACGCTACTCAGCTCTACTCCTTACATGTGAATGGCTATGTTGTGACGAACCTGTAATATGGTTCACAACTTGGTTTCCTCAAACAATGTAAACACATTCTACAACATGTTCCTGCAGTCATATCAATTGAGATGGCTTCACCATTACCTTTGTGTTCTTACCGGTCATGCTATTGCGTTTACAATAAATCATACCTCTGTGAAAATGTACTAATATTTTCTATAAAATGTTGTTGATGCAGTCTAGATGTCCTGTCCTGTATCAGTCTAGATGTCCTGTCCTGTATCAGTCTAAATGTCCTGTATACACGTCATCACAACCACATCCAGGAACAAAACAGACAGCTACTCTTTGCAGCTCATGTACATTTATTGTGTTATTTTTCTTAAAATATACACTTAGGACGAAGGGTACCTAAATCATTTCTTTGTTACAGAAAGAGATATGTACAGAGGTGCTTCTGATTGTACAGATTAAGAGCAGTTAGAGAGGAGGCCATCTCTCCCTCCCCAGCCAAACATGCACCCCCCAAAGTCTATAGTACCACAGCCCATCCCCCTTTATATCCAGTGTGAGGGTGCTGCCTTCTTATCTAGGTTGGGGCTTCAGCAGGTCTGACGTCAACTGGTAGCATCCAAGTCCTTCATGGGCCATGGTACAAGAAGCCAGTAACGGCATGCTACATGTAACTGCTGTCCAGAACCTCTCACCATGGCAAAACAATTTAGGCCAAATAGATATGTTCGATATTGAGACAGGCCTACTTACTCAGTACCAACCTACCAGACAACCTGTGAAATGACAGAAGGTACCACAGTCTCCTAAAGCGCAACATATTATCCAGGGATCAGAGAGGAGAGCTCCACAGGGAATGGCTTTTGGTTGGTAACAGGTATGCAACATGACGTCTGGAGGGACTGGTAACAGGTATGCAACATGACGTCTGGAGGGACTGACATTTAAACAACATAATACGTACCCCCACCTGTCTCATCTTACTAGTTTCAGGAACCTGCCTAAGAAGTGACTAACATCTAAACCATCTTATCTCAACTGTTCCAAAAGCTCACTCTCCATATGAGAGAACGAGAGAGTGCCCCCGTGTTGGCAGAAGCAGTTAGTACAATCTGAACCAAGTGGGTTGGACGGTAATAAGAGAAGCATCAAGTGCTCTGTTTCCTTCAAGTTCTGTCAGGGGGAGGGACTCCTAGCCGAATGAGCATTTCCGGGTGGAGGAGGGGTTTGAAGCAGGACGTCTCCATGGGGAGGGGTGAGGGGGAGAAGCAGATCATCCATGAAGCTAGCATGATTAGTAGCAGTGATTCCAGGCGGGAGGGAGGGGATCGTTAGGTTAGACAAGGGTCTGCAGTGGAAGAGGATCTCTGGGGGAGGGGTTTCCAGGTGGGAGGGGTTTCCAGGTTAGAGGGGTCTCCAGGGGGGAGGGGCTACTTGCAGATGGCCTCCAGGGCATCCAGGGTGCGCTTGATGTCCCGGATCTGGGCGGCCAGAGTGTGGATGGGCTGCATGGAGCGGTCCAGCTCCTCACAGCGCGCCATCAGCGTGTACATTCCCTATGAACACACACGCGCTACAATCAGGACATTATACTTATGACAAGAAGCATCTGTGACTATCGATCAGTATTCAGTGCTCATCCTTCCATTCACGTCTGGCCAAGCTATCTGTTCTCTCACCTTTATGCTCATGTCCACAGACTCCCCCAGGCTGTCCACTGAGTCTCTGTAGGTCTGGATGTAGCCCACACTCAGCGCTGTCATCTGGACACACACACACATTGATTAAGACATACAGTATATAGCATAGCAGACACTAACTCTGGGCAACTTACAATAAGAGCATTACAATAGCAGAGCAGAACTAAAAAGACGGAAGGGAGATCAGAATGATTTGAGTGAGTACGTGTGAATTAATAAATGAATGACATTTTATTTTCGTGTCAAATCGCCAGCTGGCAACCCATCACTTATGGGATTAATTGACACAAACAAACATTACAATGATTCACAGTGATAGTTCAGTGAAAATTCTTCCGACGTTCTGCGCAGCGCGCACCGCATAAAGAATGAAAAATAAATCAATAGATAATAGTAGAGAAGGTTATGCAAGCATTAAATAACCCTAGAGCAGTAAAAATATAATACAAATAAATACAGAAATAAATACAGAAACATTTGTGTGTGTGTGTGGTGTGGAGAAACTGAGCTCACGTACGTTCTGGATGGTTCCGTTGAGGCTGCGCATCATTAGCTCCACGCTGTGGGCAACTTCCTGTGTGTGTCTCTGCAAGTCCACCAAGACAGCAGGGTCGATGGGAGGGATATCAGCCGGCCGCCGCAACGACGACCCCCGACCTCTACTGCTGATGGAACCCGAACAGTCCGCTGGACTCAGAAAGAAAGAAAGAAATAAAGAAAAACACACACCGGAAATGACTATGTTATCTGACGGTCTACAAAGCAAACCAAATCCTCCTCCCTCATACAAACTGCTGTGTGAGTAATCCGTAATCCCACCCTTCCTGAAGGTGCTAATCTAATCAGTAGATTAGAGGGAAAGGGTAGATTGATTCGATTTGGAACTCAGCCTACAACTGCAACTTCAAACACTGACGCGTCGCTGAAATAACACCAGAAAAGGCATTTTGTGGATCAGCATTTCTCTGATCACCAGGGTCGTATTCAGGCCCATCGTAAGCAAAACGTTTTGCAATGGAAAACGGAGATGTCTTACTGGACAAGTTCAGATGGTCTCCCTGTTTCAGTCCTTTTCTTTCCAGTTTGGTACCTAATGAATACAACCCTGGTGACTAATTATCCAATCCCCCATCCCGGTCTCCGCGGTCCCCCGGTGCTGGTACTCACAGTCACAGTCACAGTCCAAACTGGGCTTGGAGCTCATCTTGATCTTCTGCTCCAGGTTGCGGCAGATGTAGTGGGTCAGGTCCCCGTCGTGGCTAACTGTTCCCTCCAGCTCCAGGGCAGAGGAGATGGTGGCCCTGCGGCCCTCTGGCTGGCCCCCCCGGCCCCCACCCCGGGCCCCTCCACCGCACGCCTGGCTGATCTCGTCCAGGCTCTTGCTGTCCTGCATGCCCCGAACGATGCGCTCCCGCTCTGGGACGTTCCGCACGCGCACCTGGGCCATGACATGGGGCGGACAAGGGCTGCTGTCTGACGACTCCCCCTTGGCTGGGGCAGAGCTGGGGCCCGGAGCTGCTGCCGAGGGCTCCTCTGTAAACTGAGGGGAAGACGCAGTCTTACACATAACAATCCTCAAGATCCTCCAGACATATAAGCATGCTGCACTGCACAATGGATTAAAAATACACCGATGATAACTACTCGAGGGAAAATGTACTTGCTACGATTGTGATATGACTCACCTAGCTATTTTAAAATGAATGCACTAATTGTAAGTCACTCTAGATAAGAGCATCTGCTAAATGACTCAAATGTTAAATGTTAATGAAATAAAGTACTATAGTACTATTCTCCAGCTGATGGCTCTGGCACTTTAACGTTAACAATTATGTACAGGAGCAGTAGCAGTCATTATGACAGACTCACCTCAGCTGAGACATCAGCCTGTGTGTTTCCCTGCACGCTGCTCCACTCTCTCCTTTTCACACTCTTCCTCCTCCTTTTCCTCCTCTGTTTCTGCAGCACAGCAGCTAGAAGGCTCTGTGTGCTCTGTCTCTGACTGCTTTTTGTCTGTGCTGTGAGTGTCCCCCTCTGGGGCTGTGTCTTTGGATGGCATGCCTGTGTGCTGCCAGTCTCCAGACAGAGTCTCGTTGAGGGGCATACCTGTTTGGGGGGGTCCAGTGAGGGACATGTCTTTGGAGGGCACGTGTGGGTCTGGCTCTGTGTCTGCTGTGCATGTGGTAGTGGGGAGGGAGGGGTGTGCTGGGAGCGTGTCTGTGTGTTGTTGTGTGTCTGAATGGGACGTGGTGTTGTGAGGAGTGTCTATGGGGTTTTCTTGTCCATCGCATGCTCTCTCCCCATCCACACAGTTCTCTGTCTCTCTAGGGGTCACATCAAGGGATCCCTGCCCAGGACTGGGCATCCTACTCCCAAACTTCAGGAGCTGTGTGGGGGTAGTCGGGGCATGGGTGTACGGGCCATTCACACTGCAGGATTCCGGGGAGTGCTGTGTATCCACCCCATTGGCTGCTTCCGGCAAGTTTGTGCCAATCACAGGGAAGAGGCTCATCCCTCCACCTGCTGCATAAAATACATGTCAGATAACAACTGACACACTCTCCTCCCTATGCATACATACAACTGGGTCTGACTCTACAAATCAATGCACATCAACTTGCTCACCCAGGGCTCCAGCTCTTTTTTGTTAGTGGGTTTTGCTTCCTTTTTGCTTTTAAGGGGGTTTGGGAGAAAGACTTGAGAATTTTGTGTGATATGTTTTCTATTCAAGTCTCTTGCTAGTACGTCTAGCCAGCTTGCAAGCATACATCGGAAGACCCACCAAACTAAACTGTCAACAATACAACTTTGCAGGTCAATGCAATCCAACAAACACAAGAAAACTAAATGATCAAAGGTCGAGTGACTGTACAATAAGCGATATAAGAATATCTTTAGCCACCAACAGCGCCTGTGTTTATACTACGTAGCTAGGTACTAGTAGCTGGCTATCAGTGTGATTAGTTACAGCTAGCTAGCAGCAGGAAACTGTAAAACAATTAGCAATAAGTACCATCAGACCATAAATAATGGTCCCAACATCTAGCAAGCAAGTCGACATATTGATGTCATTATTATTATTTTTATATTATTATCAGACATAAGCTAGCAATCAGTCACATGACGTTAGCTCGCAGGCTAGCTAGCTAGCTGTCGATGATAGCAAGGCAAGCAGGCCTCGGAATTTTATCTTGTTTTTAGTTCCCTTGTTATTCCGTGTCAAGAGTTACCACCTGGCAATGTGTGAGATGACTTACTTTCAGGAAAGTAAAATATTTGGCCGATTTGAGCGTAATCAAATAAATAAACACTTACCACTGTAGTTCTTTCCTGGAGATGTAGTCAACCATGAAACTGTGTCGAGTCCGCTCTGTATATTCTTCCATACAACCTGAAATAGAAAACGCAATAGTTCCGCATAATGATGCAACGAATTATAGGCTAACTCACCACAGTCTCACATGATGATAATATGCAGTAGTATGATGTTATCTTTAATAAGTATAATTTAAACCTATAATAATTGTAAATACTAAATCATTTCAGAATTAAGTTGTATTTAATTGAATTCAATGAAGTACAGTAAATCATTCATGTCTACTTAGGGACAGATCGAAAATTACTGGGGGGGAGGGGAGGTAGTGCGTTATTTCCCTGGTTTACATTCGCTCTTCTGCTCGTATTTTCCCTATAAACAATGGCTTGACTTACTTTGATATTACCCTAATAAAGTTTAGAAACGTTTGTGATGTTTTGGTATGGTGTGGCTATTATTAAGCTTTAGCTGCTGCAGGCCTATGCTATGAAGGCAGTGTGCCCCGGCGCTCCAACTGACTCCGACAGTTGAACTTGAGGTGAGGAAGACTGTTTCAGGCCTACCAGAGTTACTCCTATAATCGAACAATATAATGCTTATCTTTATGCAAAATATTTGGTGAGAAACTTTACGAATTACCCTCCTTCTGTACGTCTATACAGTGCGTTCGGAAAGTATTCAGACCCCTTCATTTTTTCCACATTATGTTACGCTACAGCCTTATTCTAAAATGGATTAAAGAAAAAAAATCCTCATCAATCTACACACAATACCCATAATGGCAAAGCGAAAAAAAAGCTTTTTTATTATTTTTTGCTAAACAGAAATACCTTATTTACATAAGTATTCAGACCCTTTGCTATGAGACTCGAAATTGAGCTCAGGTGCATCCTGTTTCCACTGATCATCCTTGATTGGAGTCCACCTGTGGTAAATTCAATTGATTGGACATGATTTGGAAAGGCACACACCTGTCTATATAAGGTCCCACAGCTGACAGTGCATGTGAGAGTGCTTTACAAGTGGGATGCACTGTTGAGCGCTACATCCCGAGGGGTTCGTGTTGATTGTACGGAGATTGTGACAGCCGGTTAAATGGCGTCCCTTGACAAGGCAAAAACAAGATGTATGTCAGGAGTAGAACATTATTATCATAAGGAGAGTTATACTTGGAATACAGAGGAGGAATGGAGGGGAAAAGAGAGGCAGAGGAGGTCTAAGAGAGAGAGGGAGGAAGAGGGTGAGCTTGAGTCGTTTAAAAATGGCGGAAAAGAGAGATGGTTTGAATGGTAGAATGTGTAAGCAGAGAAATGGAAGTGAATGAGGGTGAAGTATCAGAGGTGGTAGGTGTGGTGAAGTTCTTGGAGCCCGAGGCTTGCACCGAAGGTCAGGATAAAGATGAGTCTGTGACAGTAGGAGTGAAGTTTTTGGAAAAGGTGGACCCTTGCCTTTTGGCTGATGCATTTGTGGTTTCAGGGTGGGTGAAAACAGAGTTGGGTGCTGTGGAATCAGTAAAGGTAACCAGAAGTGGTCTTGTGATAATTGTTTGTGTTTCTGCTGGTCAGAGGGAGCAGGTGCTCCATGTTAAAAGAATGGGGGCAAGAGATGTGAATTGTTTTGCTTTCAAGATAAGGGTGCCGTTGAAAGGCGTGATTACTGGGGTAGCGGTAAATGTGAAAGCTGACCAACTGAAGGGGAAGATTCCCGGTGTTTGTGATGCTCGTCGTTTGGTGCGACGCAGACAGGCTGGCATGAGTGGAGACACAGAAGAGTCTCCAGAAGAGAGTCTTTTGAGTTTTGATGTTGAGTCTTTGCCCGACAAAGTGATGTTAGGATATATAAGTTATCCTGTTTGAGCTTTTATGCCGAATATGTTACGTTGTTACAGGTGTCAAGCTTATGGGCATGTGGCAGCAGTGTGTAGGAGGGATATTCCTAGGTGTGAGAAGTGTGCAGAAGGGCATGAGACAAAGGAATGTGTAGCACTGGGGAAAGTAGTGGTAGGTGTTGTGAAGTTGTCCGCTGTCTTCAACCAGGATCTCAGCGATCACTGCCTCATTGCCTGCGTCCATAATGGGTCCGCGGTCAAACGACCACCCCTCATCACTGTCAAACGCTCCCTAAAACACTTCAGCGAGCAGGCCTTTCTAATTGACCTGGCCCGGGTATCCTGGATGGATATTGACCTCATTCCGTCAGTAGAGGATGCATGGTTGTTCTTTTAAAGTGCTTTCCTCTCCATCTTAAATAAGCATGCCCCATTCAAAAAATTCAGAACTAAGAACAGATATAGCCCCTGGTTCACCCCAGACTTGACAGCCCTTGACCAGCACAAAAACATCCTGTGGCGTACTGCATTAGCATCGAACAGCCCCCGCGATATGCAACTTTTCAGGGAAGTCAGGAACCAATATACACAATCAGTTAGCAAAGCAAAGGCTAACTTTTTCAAACAGAAATTTGCATCCTGTAGCACTAACTCCAAAAAGTTTTGGGACACTGTAAAGTCCATGGAGAATAAGAGCACCTCCTCCCAGCTGCCCACTGCACTGAGGCTAGGAACCACTGTCACTACCGATAAATCTACGATAATCAAAACTTTCAACAAGCATTTTGCCACGGCTGGCCATGCTTTCCACCTGGCTACCCCTACCCCGGCCACCAGCTCTGCACCCTCTGCTGCAACTTGCCCATGCCCCCCCCCCCCCCCCCCCCCCCCCGCTTCACCCAAATTCAGATAGCTGATGTTCTGAAAGAGCTGCAAAATCTGGACCCCTACAAATCAGCTGGGCTAGACAATCTGGACCCTTTCTTTCTAAAATTAGCCGCCGAAATTGTAGCAACCCTTATTACCAGCCTGTTCAACCTCTCTTTCGTATCGTCTGAGATCCCCAGAGATTGGAAAGCTGCCACGATCATCCCCCTCTTCAAAGGGGGTGACACTCTAGATCCAAACAGTTACAGACCTATATCCATCCTGCCCTGCCATTCGAAAGTATTTGAGAGCCAAGTTAACAAACAGATCATCGACCATTTTGAATCCCACCGTACCTTCTCCGCTATGCAATCTGGTTTCCGAGCTGGTCATGGGTGTACCTCAGCCACGCTCAAGGTCCTAAACGATATAATAACCGCAATCGATAAAAGACAGTACTGTGCAGCCGTCTTCATTGACCTGGCCAAGGCTTTTGACTCTGTCAATCACCGCATTCTTATTGGCAGACTAAATATGTCACGCCCTGGCTCTGGGGACTCTTAAATGTTGAGCCAGGGTGTGGAGTTTCTATGTCATATTTTCTATGTTGTGTTTTCTAGATCGTGTAGATCTATGTTGGCCAGGGTGGTTCCCAATCAGAGGCAGCTGTAGCTCGTTGTCTCTGATTGGGGACCATACTTAGATCTTGTTCCGTTAAGGTTTGTTTTGGGTAACCTAGGACTTCACGTTTCGTTTGTTTGTTGTTTTGTTGTGAGTTAAGTACTGAATAAAATGTACGCTTATCACGCTGCGCCTTGGTCCGTATCCTCCGTAAACGATCGTGACAGAAGATCCCACCAATCCTGGATCAAGCAGCGTGACGAGGAGAGAGGATGGACTTGGGAGGAGATGAGCGAGAGTCTGGCAAGAAGGATGGAGGCCATGATCACGGGGGAGAGACAAGCCCAAAACATTTTTAGGGGGGGGGCTCACGCCGTGGACGACGAGGCAGCAGGAGGCCGCGATAAAGTGGTTCAGCCGTTTTGCAGAGGAGGCCGCCAGATTAAGGGGGTCATTGGTTCAGAGGGAACAGAAGGAAAGTGTAGAGGCACGGCGAGAGGAGCTGGTTAGGCAGCAGATGGAGCGGGGGTTAATGAAGGAACCCAGTCCCGCTCCTCGCACCAATCAAGTGGTGCGTGTCGCCAGTCCGGTCCGGCCCGTTCCTGATTCCCGCACTAAGCCAGTGGTGGGTGTTCCCAGTATGGTTCGGCCCGTTCCTGCTCCTCGCATCAAGCCAGTGGTGCGCATCGCCAGCCCGGTCCGGCCTGTTTCTGTCCCTCGCACCAAGTCAGTGGTGCGCGTCGCCAGCCCGGCCCGGCCTGTTCCTGCCCCTCGCACCAAGCCAGTGGTGCGCATCGCCAGCCCGGTCCGGCCTGTTCCTGCCCCTCGCACCAAGCCGGTGGTGCGCGTCGCCAGCCCGGTCCGGCCTGTTCCTGCTCCC